TATTGTATATATATTATATATATATTTTATTATATGTGTACATGTATAATTCCTATGCGCAGGGATGGCAAATGTACTCGCATACGCGCATAAACACTCGTGCAAATTCACACATCCGTCTTATATCGGGTATTACAATGTTTTATATCCCTGCCGTTGCGGAACGTGTTTCGTTCATAGAGCGCGGACAGGTCCTGCATTGATCGCAACAGAAAGTGTTGTGGGATCGTAAGACCGAGCATGCGACAGCGTCGAAGTAGCTCCAACGGGTCGTCTAACGCGGTCACCTCGCTGGCATCGGGCACGAAACACTCGCAGCCCATGATCTCTAGATGCGGTTTCGCCAAGGCGTCGTAGTACGCGGTGCTGGCGGCACTCACCGGTATGTAGTAGGCCACTCGCTCCCGCTGGACGATATCCCGCAACGCCTTTATATATTCGGTAACGTTCCTGGGTCCGGGCCGCGGTATCGTGTAGTACTTGGAACAGGCGGTGGAGAATTTGGCTAGACCGAACAGGCCCTCGAGATCACACACTATCACCCGGGCGCCCGCCTTGTAGAAATTACGTGCGAGATGCACCGCTTGCACTGTGCTACCGCCGCTGATCAGCACGCACCGCTTGTTACGTGATCTCTCATAAGCCGGGGTGTGCAGTACGGTGATGAACCATTTGAGAGCGGTCAGCGGTAGTTGCAGAAACACCCAGAACAGGCAGATCCAGGCAGATGCCCAGAAAGCAGGAGCCCAAATCGCGTAGCCAATGACATTGAAGACACTTCGAAATAAACTCAACAGAAGTCCGAAGTACCAAGACAAAATCCTCGAGAAAATGGAATCGTTGCTCCTCTCGACGTTCCGACTATCTGCCGCTAGTATACCCTGTTGATGATGATGTTGCTGTTGTTGTCGTTGCTGCTGTCGTCTCTGAGAGAGTATCACCGTCGACATACTCGAGAGCGATGACGCCCGGGAAAGATTGTTCGGCGCATGGGACGTCGACATGACCACGTTCGACGACGTGCGCTTCAACATGGACACGGGCGACATTCGGGGTGGCGATGTGGACAACGGTGTGCCAGGTAACGGCGGCGACACGCTGCTGCTACGCGACATCGGCGGGCTGGAAGACCATAATGTGGACGAGTTCTCACTCGAGCAGGCGGGCATCTTCGTGTTTTCTGTTTAACGTTTCACCTTCGGAAACCCTGTCCAAAAGGGTTACGAATTGAGGAGCCTAACTGATCGGTAGAAATCCTTATATCCAAGACTCATATCTCAATCTTGGGAAATAACCGTCGGTTATTTCAGCGAGGGAAGAGGAAGATGAGATGTGAGATAGTTCTTCTCGAAGGGTCGATTGTACCCTAATCACGGATAGAAAAAAATTATCTCTCTCTTTTTCAGATGTGGTGATAAAAGCGACTATGAAATGACACAACATACATGAAAATTAGAGCGATGCTGTTGTTGATATCAATCGCGAAGAAGATACTCGGGACTGACTCCCGTCCTTAATTGTCGGTTTGCACACGCAGCTTTAACTGAAGCTGGGCCTCGAGTATCCTGGTCTCTTATGAGGTCTGCATCTCCGACGTACTATGAACCGGAGCCTTATCTAATCGTCGCGCTTCAGACACCGCAACGAAAAGAAAGAAGTCGCAAAATATGTCGTGTCTGCTCTCGCTTTTCTCCCCTCTCTTCCTTTTTTTATTTTTTCCGTTCAAATTAATTACTCGAAGAGGAACGAAGAGGAAAAGAGACGAGGTCGAAAGAAAAACTCTTGGTGAAAAAATCGATTCGTATATCAGTATAAGCAATCTAACCGATTCATATGTCAAGAGGATTTTTGGTATATATCATTATAGTTAGATCACAGCATGTGTAAATGGCGTTATTTTATAGGATTGTGTTGATTGTTCCCTGCTATGAATTTTGGACAATCATACAATCAATAATCTTTATAATATATATTACAAATCTATAATCTCATTAAACTTGTTTTGACGTTACTTTTATGTCAAAACTACTGCATTTTGATTACTTGCACATTGGATTGTTTAATCATGATTGTTATCTTGATAGAATGAAGAATAAAAATGATAAAGTTAATCTGGATTGATGAGACAATAATCAAAATATATTTGCTCTTTTTAACACACAGTTGCATAGGATGTAAAATAATATTTTGAGACGATAACCCGTAATTATTTGTTAAACAAACGCCATCTGTTGAATGAGTAATGTTATAATATTATTTCATAATGTCGTAATATTAATAGTCATATTAGAATCAATTGATATACCTAAAATATATATCGGTATATTACCATTTAATTGAAACGAGATCTGAAAATAGGTTGTTATATTAACTTTTAGAACAAGTTATGTTAATCAAATGAAGAACACGAAGGACAAAAAAATAAATGAGGAATCGAAATGAAATTAATCTGTGCATCGACAAATAATAATTGTCAAATGAAATAAAGATAAAATTTTATTTATTATGTTTTTTAATAAATAAAATGTATAATGTAAAATAAAAAAATATAATAAAATTACTTTCATATATAAATACTTTATAAACATTCATCGTCAACTTGGGAGAGGATATCGTTGCACGTGGCATTCACTTTTGCTACAAAACGAAAAAAAAGACATTCAAGAAATTTTTAGGGATGATGCCTTTCTTTTTGAATACACACAACTTTATTTCGTACATTTAGAATATACTTATCTTGTAAATTATATAATACGTTATGGTCTTATTTGGCTTAATGAAATACAATAATATACTGTCTTTAGAATTTGTTTGTTTTCTCTTTGCTGTTACGGCACTTGAGCCAGTACAAGTATAATCTTGACCACTATTTTCTAAATAAACGAAAGAAGTTATCGATCCTGTAGAGTTTCCGTATTTTATTCGAAATTTTAGTGAGGAGATTACATTCTCGAGGAAAGTCCATCAAAAGGCAAGACATTGAATTGACTTTCTTAATATTAATATACATTCAGCTTTATGTGCTATTCTGTTTATTCGCGTACACTGATCGTTATAATATAAACCAAGAGATTAAGACAAAGCAAATGACAAATTCTTTTTCGATTCAACGAAAAAGTAACAGTCCTTGTATTATAGTAAGAGAAGAAAGTAGTCTTACAATTTAGCACGAAGTACCCGCAACGAAGTTTTACTTTATGACATTCGAAAATTATTATATTTCTCTTATTAGTTAAATAAAGATTTCTTACAACTTTGGCCCATTCAATGTAATTATACTAATCAAAATCTTCTCTTCTACTATACAATATTATATGAATATCAACTAACAGTCGCTCTCTCTTTAACTACATATATTTATATATTTATATATGTATAATGTAATTGGTGTATATATATAATATATATTGTATATATATTATATATATAATATATCATATGTGTGTGTGCGCGCGCACGTAGGGTGTCCCGAACTTAAGTGGCCAAACTTCGGGAGCGTGTAGGGGTTGATAAACTAAAAATAAAAAAAACGTCCTTTCTTAAGGAGATGCTTCGTTTTGGAGAAAATCGTTCGTATAAAATGCAATGCGTGTATTGCTGCAAGAGTTTTTATATATATATTTATATATTACTCTCTAAGATCTATACTTATCGTACAATTTTAAGCAATAAATATCTTTAGATGCTTTTCTCCATTCTACTTATGTACAATTTCAAGTCTCTAACTGTATAATGCACAGTCTCTTATTATACTATTCAAATCCATCTTAATGGATAGCAATCGTATGAATGAAGTGACGTTGCATCGTTAAGGAAAAAATTCCTCCGTATGGTATTTAAAAAAATATTGTGAAAATATAATTTGCTAATATAATGCCATTAATGAAATAATTGCTTATCGCAGATTACCATTCTTACGGAAAAATTGTACGGTTGTTATACTACGTTTAGTATAACTCATATATATATGAAGTGCATTAAAAGAAGACAAGATTGTGTATTTTTAACAAAAAATTTATGGTATTTCATTAGAGTAATTTACACAATAAATTACTATGAATTTTTTTGCATATAGTAATAATAAGCGAAAACCACAATATATTATATTCGCAAAAAATTTGTGTTGTAGCATAACAACAGTACAATGTAGAATGTCTTTCAAAAGCATTACGCTTTTATTTCCCTGTAAAATTATATAATAAACTGTATCCAAAAATCTATATGATATCTAGTAAATGTATTCTATTTATACAATAATTATAATAATACTTCGTATTATTTAAAATAAAATTTTATCAAGTAAAAACAAATCCATTTTGTATATTTATGTATATGACTAGAAATTATAGTTATAAACCTACAATGATAATGCCATTGCGATTTGTGTTTAACCTATGCATATTATACTGTTTATATAATAACTTATACATTTCCCTAC